TATCATCGCTGACATCAGATGTATCTTGGCTGAAAGCAGAGAAAACCAATAGGAAGTTTACTTGTGCTCTGTAGATTATGTCATGGATTTCCACTAAGTGGATCATAAGAAGCCGTGGATAACATTATAAAGATTAGGTATTCCAGAACACTTAATTGTGCTCAAGAGTAACCAGTACATAGACAACTTCTCAAACTTTGAATATGTTATCAGAAATGTTACCAGAATATGTTATCAGTACCTGGAGACTGGTGAGTGGAGGGTAAAATGGAGTATCAGTGAAAAAGAGAAAGACACCCAGTGAGATTGATTGTTACAGTGGCAGCAACAGTGGGCTCAACTATAACAAAATTTATGAGGACTCTGCAGGATGAGACAGTGTTTAATTCTGTTGTGCATAGAATCACTACGAATCATAATAGACTCAACAGCACCAAATAAAAACAACATTGCTTCTAATATACGTATTTTTTGCTCTGTTTGCTAAGGTTCTTTCCTTGGCTATGTCCATTCTACTGATCAGCCATCAGTGGCATTCATTATACCTGTTACAGTATTTTTAATTTTTAGCATTAACTTTTGATTTTTTCTTAGATTTTCCTTCTCTGTGTATTTTTATATATTGTGTAATTATTTCATTAGTATTCTTGACATGCTAATCACATGACTTTAAATTTCCTGTCTGGTAATACCAATATCTATGCCATACCTGAATGTGATTATAATGCTTTTGTTATCTCTTCAGATTTTATTTATCTATTTTTGACAACCTTTAGGATGTCAATAATTTTTTTTTGAAAGTCACATATTGTATATTGGTAAAGTGGGAGTCTTGGTGTGACACTGTAGGTTAATGCACCAGACTGCAAGCTGTTTGAACTACAAAGTTGGCAGTTCAAGCTCACCAGCTGCTTCTCAGAAACCCTATGTAGTTATGGGTTGGAACCGACCTGACGGCACTTTACAACAACAACAAGGGTTATTAGTTGTTTTATGTTCACCTGTTTTGGAGCCCTTAGATGGCATAAATGGTTAAGCACTCAGCTAATTACCAAATAGGCCTTCTGAACCCATTGAGAGATGACTTGGGACAAAGGCCTGCCAGTCTACGTCTGAAAATCAGCCATTAAAACCCTTTTGCAACACAGTTGTACTTTGACACACATGGAACCACCAAAGTCAGAGTCACCTTTTTAACAACTGGTTTAATTTGGCTTGGTTTGCTTATGAGTATGTTTCCTATCTGTAGGTGTGAGAGACTTAAAATTACTTTTGTGTTTTTGCTCACGTCTTGCCTGTTGCCTTTGGGCTTTCCTAAGAATGTCTCCTAAATAATAACTCCATCTTACTTCTCTTTAAGCTATTATCTATTTTTATTACCCTGGTGCTGTTGTTAAATGCCATCGAGTCAGTTCAGACTCATAGTCACACTGTATAGGGTTTCCAAGGATCAGCTGGTGGGTTTGAACTGCTGACCTTGTGGCTAAAACTGACCTTGGACCTTAGTTAGTATGGTGATGTCAGAGAGATGAAGCATTCAATAATCTTATGATTAAACTTTAGTTTTATAGTAAGCCTGTATCCCTGATCTGGGATCTTCATAAGTGATTTTCATTTTTTATTTATCTACCTAGATGAGATGGGGAGTACTGGCTTGACATTATAGGATACATACTGGATTGCAAGGTTAGTTTGAGCCACAAGGTCAGTGGTTCAAGTTCACCAGCCTCTCCTTGGAAACGCAATACAGGGTCTCTATATGAGTCATATATGAGTCAGAGCCAACTCAATGGCACTTAACAATGGGTGACATGAGTAAGTTTGACAGGGATGGATTTGTCTAAATTCTCTTCCACCTAGGAGGAATAAACTTCTGGTAAGCCTTTTCTCTCTGAGAAGCACACCACTTTTTATGGAGAACCTTCTGGTCAGATTTCTAAATGGTTACATTTCCCCTTTCCCCTGCCAGAATCATGAACAGACCTTTCTTGGCTCCTCGCCATAAAAACCCTGAGGGACACTGAAGGTAAAGCCATTGAAACTTAAGAGTCTCACAAAGACTGTAGGCTCCAGGGATTTATCACTCTGAATACAAATCCACATTTAGCATCCAGAAAATTTTCAAAATTACCATTTAACTGTCCCTAAAAATGTATGACTCTAGAGACTTTTCCTTCAGGGAAGTAGACCTCAGCTGGATGTTCTCTATTAACCTGTCTCTGAAGATATCAAAATGTTTGTCCTGTGACCCAAATTCTCTGATGAATAGAAGGAAAATTGTGAATTTTCATTTTGTTCAGCCTTTTCCTTATTTTAAGAAAGAGAGTGACAACTTCCAAGTACTTTACATATGACAGCTAACAGTGGAATTCCAATGAATTAATTTTTTATGTACTTTAAAATGTATTAGTCTAATGAGAAGGAGCTCTGGTAGCATAGTGATTACGAACCAGGCTGCTAACCTCAGGGTCAGCAGTTTGAAACTATCAGCTGTTCTGTGGGAGAAAGATGAGGCTTTCTGCTCCCATAAAGGTTTATAGCCTCAGAAATCCTGTACAGGGTCACTATGAGTCAGAACCGACTCCATGGCACATAACCACCACCAGTCTAATGAGGATTGGGAATTAAAGTCAGAAAAATAATTAAGGTGTCCCTTTACCCTTGAAAGTTTGAGAAACACTGCTGTATACATTACCAGGGTCCCCTAAGGCATGTTATGTTAGACCAGCAGATCTGGGCTGGGGGATGTAGGTAGAGTAGGTAGGAGAGGAATGTCTGCCCATAACTTAAATCCTCCAAATTCATGCAGTATTCACATGCTCATCACAAACACACTGGCAGGAATTTATGTGTTGTTATTTTCCCCAAGGCCTGATAGAAATTAGAAACAGACAAGATGTACCAATTTCCTTCTTCAACCATTTCTCTTCCTCAGGGCATGGCTGAGAGAACGAAGCACACAAGACAAACAATTATAGATTAGATTTCTCTTTATTTGTCTCTGAGGAGTTTGGTCACAGAAAACCCTAAAATAAGGACTGGGAGGAAGAGAAGACAGGAGAAGAATCAATCTGAGGTTGTGGAGGAGAATATCCCCTTCTTGGTTTGGTCTTCACAATAAAGTTTCAAATCGTGTCCTAGTTTTTGAACTTGCAAACATAGGGTAACCTCTGTTCACAGTTATAATCTTTCCATTTCAGGAATCCTGGAGAGAGAAAGGTGAAGTGATGAAGCTGTTGGAGATTGTGAGCTCAGTGGGGAGGCATTCCAGACCCAAGCCTAGGATTCAAAGCCACATCCACACCACATCCAACTACAGGTGAGGGATGCACAAGGAAAGTAACAAAATGAGGGGATGTGGAAAATAAAACAAAACAAAACAGAATGGACTTTACTAGCTTAGAAGAATTTTTGGAGATTAAACCAAGATAAGAGAAAAGAGGGGATGGGAAGGCTGGGCACAAAATGACTCCTATATTTATTACCTGTGCTTCTAGAGAGGGTCCCACAATGACCAGGCTTTGATATGGTGGAAGGATGTCTCTCCCAGGATAAGTAATTTAGCACATCACCGTTAATCCACTCCCATCCACCTGCATTGGGTTGTAAGCCCTATGGCGTAGAATATGGAGGCAGGTAAGGGAACTGCCTCAACTCTCTTTTGCATGATCCACTAGCTGGAATACTTGATCCCCACTCCAGCAACATGGAATTGGTTTACTTTTCCAGATACTGCATCCATCAGAGCCATACCTTCTAGGAAGCACTATCTTAACTACTTTTTCTCCTTTTGACAAATTTTAACCAAAAGATTCTCCCAAAGTAGCATGTCACTGGTTAAGCATCTGATCCTGGTGCATTGTTAATAATTACCCTTTGAGTCCTAAAGTCCATGTCTAGTTTGTTGTTATTGTTGTTGTTGTTACTGTTACTGTTGAATGCTGTCAAGTCAGTTCTGACTCAGTGACACTGTACTGAGTTTCTGAGGAGTGACTTGTGGGTTTGAACCAATGACCTTGAGGTTAGCAGTCCAGTGCTTATCCTACAGCACCATACCAAGACCCCATGTCAAGTCTACAGGAGACAAAAAATACTGTCATTTAGGATCCCTTCAACACAGTTTAAAGAGCTCTGGTAGTGTAGTGGTTATGAGACAGGCTGCTAATCTCATGGTCAGCAGTTCGAAACTACCAGTAGTTTTGTGGGAGAAAGATGAGGCTTTCTGCTCCCATAAAGATTTACAGCTTTGAAAACCCTTTGCAGGGTTGCTATGAATGAGGACCAACTGCAAGACACACCACCACCACCACCAATAACAACATCGTTTACACAGACCTGTAAAGCTCAGAAAACTGAATTTCAAGGACTCATGAATTGTGTAAAAAGTTTAAAAAGAGGCAGATGAATTTAAACTGTAGACCAGAACCTTCACAGAACTCAGCTCTCCAGCAGGTATCAATGCCCTCCCCTCCCCCAAATATTCTCCAGAATCCTTGAGCTCTAGGACTACATGGAGTTCTTCATGGTAAGGAACAGTAGATGGAGACTGAATTTGTGTGACAGCAGTCATTTTAGAGATGAGGCATAGGAGAGAATTCAGTCTCACCAGTGTGGGGTCATGGAGTCCTATCCAGACATATGCATAAGCGCTTGATACTGTCTTCACCAGGGAGGCCACAAATAAACCTTCATTTGCATTAAGCACAGACACGAGGTGTCCTGAGGAACGCTTCTGGCAGGCTATCTGTGTGGGGAAGTAGAGACAGAGGGAAAATGGGGACTACTGGGAGAAAGAGGTAGGTGAGAAGGGTAGTATGAGATAGATGTAGAAGCGCATGCCTACTCAAAAACACATTGGAAAATGGAGGCCTCTCCCTCCCTCCTTTGATCTCTTTCTTGAGTGTTTTGTACTATGACTCCCAACCGTATATCACAGTGCATACATATGCTTCAGTCCAGGTTTTTGGCATTAGAAATAAGGCATAGCAGGAAGAGTGATATGCTTTGGAGCCTCTGGGACAGCTGATCCGTGTAGAGAGTTGTTCCTTATGGGAATCTTCTCCTGGGGGTAGAAGGAAAACAGAGGAACACAATGAGATGAAGTGTAGTGCTTGGAGAGGAGAAAATAGGGAGGCGTGGCTATGAGGACAGCATGGAGAATGGTGCCACACTCCTGACCAACTTTTACCTTTGTCAACTGAGAATTTCTTGTTCTTGAAGCAAACCTTCTATATAATATACCATCTCCCTTCTTTTTACTCTCCCCCATTCTTCAATGCCCAACTCTTCCTTATGACTATCCCTACACTGAACGCTATCTATAACTCATGACTGACTCTTCATAATTTATATGTTGAATGTCCCACAATAAATGCATCCATTGACAAATGGAAAACCATCTTCTCCATTGATATTGAACCACTCAAATTCCTCCCACAATTACTTTTCTGGAGAAAGTAGTGATGATGAGGGAATTGTAGACTACTTGATGATGTGGGAATATACCTCACCACTGCCATATGTGTCACACAGGTAGATTTCTCCTCTTCTTGGTTCTGAAGCCAGTGCTACAGTAGGCAGAAAAATCTTACCTTTTACTTGGGATAGGAACATTAAACAAGAAAGCAACATCCAAAACATGCTGGAGAGGGTCATGGGAGGCAACATCACATCTGTGTGTCAGGAAGCAATTAGAGATCACTAAAGGAAGGTTGATCAGAGATCATGCAGAGACTTTCCCTCCATACCTTTTGACTTTTACTTTCAGCTTCTAGAAATAAATGGACTCTGGTGACATCCATTATTTCTGTAGCTCTAGAGAAAACTGAGGACCCTATATTACTAATGACCCTAATAGATCTCTTTGCTGAGTCTGAACTTCTATTCTATGAAGACTGGTGTCCCTAGATCTTCTATAGTGTGTGACAGAAAACCCCTGATTTGGGTCCCATCTTCCAGCAGCTCCAACTTACCTGTCTTGCAGGACAGTGGGATGATTTGTCTGGTCAGATAATCCTGGACTTTTATAGGAGGACCTTAGGGAGTGGCATTGAAATCAATACCAGGAATTGTGTAGGTGATACAGCAGTTATGGGTATGGATTTGGCATAGGATCAAAGAAATCCCTGCCATAGGGAGGAGATACTTCTTAGCAGAGACTGGAAATCACACAGATACTGTCTATTTCCTGGTAATATGCCAGCACATTCCCCAAGGAGAGCTGAATTTTTCCATGTTCCCAGGCTCCCCCAAAGGCTCTGTTTTGAGACATCAGAGGAATTATGGTGGCCATTTGGTATAAATTCTACTGTGTTAAATACGTAAAAGAAAATTGTAGCCATGGCTACTTAAGAAAAAGAATCAAAAGAAATATACTTAACTTTTTTAATCAGTGAAGAACTAGGAATCCTGGTGTGCCTGTGGGTTAACACACTGGACTGACTGTAAAGTCGGATTGAACCAAAAAGTTCATAGTTCAAGCTCACCAATTTCTCCTCAAAAACTCTATACAAGGTCACTCTGGGCAAATTATTGAATGATGCAGAAAGCATCAAAATAAAATGGAATGAATACACAGAGTCACTGTGCCAAAAGGAAATGGTTGATGTTCGACCATTTCAAGAGGTAGCATATGATCAAGAGCCAATGATACTGAAGAAGGAAGTCCAAGGTACATTGAAGGAATTGGCAAAGAACAAGGCACCAGGAATTGATGGAATAATAATTGAAATCTTTCAAGAAAATGAAGTGGCACTGGAGGTACTCACTCACCTATGCCAAGAAATTTGGAAGACGACTATCTGGCTGACAGATTGTGCCCATTCCAAAGAAAGGTAACCCAATGGAATGCAGAAATCATTGGACAATCTCTTTGATATCCCATGCAAGTAAAGTTTTACTAAAGGTAATACAGAAATGGCTGCAAGCATTCACTGACAGAGAACTTCCAGAGGTTTAAGCTGGATTCAGAAGAGGTCACGGAATGAGGGATATCGTTACTATGGATCATGGCTGAAAGCAGAGAATATCAGAAAGATGTTTACCTGTGCTTTATTGACTACACAAAGGCTTTTGATTATGTGAATCATGACAAGTTATGGACAACATTGTGAAATATGAGTATGCTGGAACACTTAATTGTGCTCATGAGGAATCTGTACCTGGACCAAGAGGCAGTTGTTCGAACAGAACATGAAAATACTGAGTGGTTTAACATTTAGAAAGGTGTGTGACAGGGTTATATTCTTTCACCATACTTATTTAATTTATATGCTGAAAAACTAATCTAAGAAGGTGTGTTATAGGAAGAAAAACATGGCATCAAGATTGGAGGAAGACTCACTAACAACCTGTGATAAGCAGATGATACAACCTTGCTTGCTGAAAGCAAAGAGGACTTAAAATACTTACCGATGAAGATCAAAGACCACAGCCTTTGGTACAGATTGCATATCAATGTAAAGAAAACAGAAAGCTTCACTATTGGACCAATAAACAACATTCTTATCAATGGAGAAAAGGCTGAAATTCTCAAGGACTTCAGTCTTCTTGGATCAACTATTAACACTCATGGAAGCAGCAATTAAGAAATCAAATGATGTATTGCATTAGGTAAATCTGCTGCGCAAGACCTTTTTTTAAAGTGTTGAAGAGTAAAGATGTCAGCTTGAGGACTAAGGTGCGCCTGACCGAAGCCGTGGTATTTTCAATAACCTCATATATATGCAAAAGCAGGATAGCGAACAAGGAAAACCATAGAAGAATTGATGATTTTGCGTTATGGTGTTGGAGGAGAATATTCAAAGTGCCATAAGCTGCCAAAAGAACCAACAGATCTGTGTTGGAAGAAGTACAGCAGTTAGAGTACTCTTTGGAGGCCAGGATGGCCAAACTTTGTCTCTCATACTTCAGACATATTGTCAGGAGGGACCAATCACTGGAGAAGGATATCATGTTTGGTAAAGTGGAGGGTCAAAGAAAAAGTGGAAGACCTCCAATGAGGTGCATTAGCAAAGCAATGGGTTCAAGCGTGGTAACAATAGTGAGGGTTGCCCAGGACCGTGCAGTGTTTCATTCTGTTGTACATAGGGTTGCTATGAGTTGATACCGACTTGATGGCACCTAACAACAACATGGATCAGTAGTGATTCAACAGCATTTAACAACAATATAAGAACTAACTCCTGTTGACATACTATGATTTTCTTCTTACTTTTCCCACTAAGATTAAAGAAACACCAGGTAATAAATAAACTAAGATTGACACAATTATTGAAGAGCTTTATTAACAGCCATCTAAGGTACAACTGGTAGCGTAGTGGTTATGAATCAGGCTGTGAACCACAAGGTCAGTAGTTCAAAACTACCAGCTGTTCCGCAGGAGAAAGATGAGGCTTTCTGCTACTGTAAATATTTACAGCCTCAGAAACCCAGTACAGGGTCGCTATGAGTCGGAATCGACTCCACGGCACACAACAACAACAACAAAGGTACAACTATTGGTCTCTCCATGTGCAGAAGCAAGAAGAGTGATGAAAATTAAATGGAGCCGTTCAACATGTATCACCATAACTCTGAACCCAGAAGAACTAGCTGGTACCCAGCTAACACAAACAACTGCTCTGAAAGGGATCACATCAGAATGTCCCCAATAGGGAGGCAGGAAATGTAAAACAAAAATTAATATTATATTAAAAAAGAATGGGTTTACTGGTCAGAAAGACACTGGAGGAACCTGAGACTATAGCCTTCAACCACCTGAGACTAAGACCAGCTACCAACTCTGGAATGTAACTCACCTTGTTGGCCCAATTTTCAACCAAGTGTAGAAAGGCATATAGGGGAACAACAATAATAAGGTATGCTCATCAGGGAATAGTCAGTCATTTACCTAAGGGCAATATTTACTGAAGGACAAAATTGAAAAGGGATGGGAAGGAGGGAGGAAGTGGGATAACTCTTGTTGTATAGAATGCATTGCAATCATTGAGAAGAAAAAAAGTGTTGAATGTAAACTGATAAACTTGTCTGTAAAGCTTCATTGAATTCACACTAAAAAGTTATATATATATAAAGAAGAATTGAAAGCTTGTGATGGGAAAGTATTAATTGAATGGAAGAAAGAATTGAAGCCAAGAGTAGGAGCAATAGTTCAGAGTTGCTGCTTCAACATAACAGCATGGTGTGAAAGAAACAGAGAACAAACTTTTAAGTTAATAGGTAAACCACAATTGTGCAGAACAATGGCTCCCATTCACCTAGGAGATAAAATTCCAGTGAAAGAAACACAGAGCAAACTTTTAAGTTAATAGGTGAACCAAGATTGTGCAAAACAATGGCTCCCATTCACATAGGAGATAAAATTCCAGGGATGTATAAAGACCCTGAGATAAGATGAGAAGAAAATAAAGGAGCTGAGGGAGAAAAAAAAAAGTGTGTATCATACATAGAGAAAAGCCATATCCAGCGATGGTGGTGGTGTGCCATGGAATCGGTTCGGACTCATAGTGAGCCTGCTTAGGGTTTCTGAAGCTTTAATCTTTGCAGGAGCAGAAAACCTCACCTTTTTCCCATGGAACAGCTGGTGGTTTCCACCTGCTGACATTGAGGCTAGCACCCACCCCCTGCCCCCATTTCCTAACCACTAGGCTCCAGAGCTCCTTATATCCAATGATAGAAGAGGGCAAACTTGAGCCTACACTTCATATAGAACTCTCTATTGTACTGCTCACAGCTCCCTGCATGTTTCACATGTTATTGTTGTTAAGTGCTGTCAAGTTGCTTCTGACTCATAACGACTCTGTATAGGGTTTCCAAGGAGCAGATAGGCTCATTTAAAATCTGTCATGTGACTAGATCCAGCTGCTCCTTGGAAATCCTATACAGGGTTGCTATGGGTTTGAATAGACTAGTTGGCTCTTGAGGGGAAACTGAGAAATAGTTCAGTGTAAATCAGAACTGGCAATTTGATACCTCAGAACCACTCTCTCAGAATGTTGTCTGTTCAACAATGGGAGTCTTCAAATTCGTTTGGTGGTGGTGGGGTGGCATGAAATTGTCATTTTTATAATTGTTCTAAAATGTCATGTAGCTTTTAACTGTGTTGATACTTGTACTGATGGTGTAGAAGCTATGGTGAGTAATACATCTGGTACCTTATAATTAATCAAGGCTATTGTTATTGTTAAGTGCTGTTGTGGCAGTTCCAATTCACAGCCACCTTGTAGAAAGTTTTTGAGGAGCAGATGGTGAGTTTGAACCACAGACCTTGCAGTTAGGAGTCCATTGTTTAATGAACAGTGTTAGTGACATCAAATTTTATACTTCATACTAATGCATTTGCAGCAAAAAAAAGGACATTTACACTTAAACATTTCTTTGATAAGGAATGAGGGTGATTAATTTCAGAAATTCTCAACACTTGAATACATCTCTCTTAATATGCTATATAACAAAATGTGAAGCCCAAATAAAATCATCGTCTGTATACCAAAGTCATTTTATTTTTAGTTTTTGAGGAAAAGTGTTTCTAACATTCAGTTGTATTCCACTGTTTTTATGACATACCATTTTTATTTGATGGACTGACTACTAAACACACTTTGATTATTTGTGCATTGCTATTAGCTTAGCATTAAAAATAGTCAAAGTTTGTTAATAATATATGC